ATATATGTATATATTATGTAAGAACAAACATTCAAAGGAGTGAGAATTGTGTCCCATTCATGACTGAAAGTTTAATATCAAATGAGATCAAAACTCAAGCAAACCTGAATTTAACTTTTGCTTTGATGCAGTTTGGTGTGTGCACAGTGCAGCAGGTCTCTGTGGGTGGTTTGTTTGATGGTTTGAGCTGATGTTAATAGCTCAATAAATATCAAATGGATTTTAATTTCACTTGTTTGTATTAGCATTCAAAACATGTTATTGTAAGACTTTTCTGATGCAAAAAATAGGTTTTAATCTTGTGTGTGGTTTTTTCTCTGAAATTTATGTCTCACACACACGCATCTTGCACTTCATCACAAATCCACCCAGTAATCCATCCCATCCAGTAATACAGCTAGGCCTTCCATTTGCACATGGAACTGATCACAGTTCATCAAATACAGTGCAAATAGCAAATAACACACACCATAAACAGATCCAGCTTTTTTGTAACATAGAAACAAAAAAAAGGTACTCCAAGCAGTTTAGACCAAATGCCTCCAGCTGTTTGCCAAATTGGTTTGACATGAGATGGCTCAATCGAGGTCACCTCCTTGATGTGGTTTTAAAGTTTCCAAGAAAAAAAAAATCTGTTAAAGAAGTTTTTTTCCTGCAACACATTTGGGGAGTTTATTTGGGGAGTGGGGTTCTATGCTGGACTGTGAGTGGGATTTAAACACCAGTGAAAAAAAATTGTGCCTTATGGGTGATGGATAGGCTGATCGATACCTAACATCCTGCAAAAATGGCATCCTTTGGTTTATATTGTGTGTTGATGTAGCAACATAGGAGTTCAAAAATGTCCAGTTGAGTGTTAAAATACACAAATGGGTACAAAAAAGATGTTTGTTTTTTCCTAATACTTACTTATATAGTTATTCGATCACATTTCCAAATGAATGCGTGCGTGAAACCTAGAGTTCAATAAGAGAAGATGAAGATGGAGATTGAGAAGATGTTAAGGGAACTATTTTCTTCTGTTTTTGTGCATTTAAATTATATGCATACAAGTATTCTAATATTTGACATACGCAGCAGTTATTATGAATTCAATCACAGTTCTAAGGTCTCTTGGTTATTCATTCCATCCATCCTCTTCCGCCTATCCCAGATATCATTTGGGTGAGAGACAGTTTACACCCTGGACAGCTCGCCAACCTGACGCAGGACTAACACAGCAAAACAGGCAACCATTCACACCAACGGGCACCACTAACTACATGTCTTTGGAAGGCAGAGCACCCACGCAGACACCATGCAAACTGATCACATGACAGGCCCAGCCGAGTGGTGGACTCAAACCCAGGGTGTTCTTGCCGGATACCGTCAGTGTGCACCCACGAATGGAAGATTTGTTTTATTTTCATTATCCACTAGAGGGCACTGTGACACTGTAAATCTCCAAACCACCATCACACGACAGCTGTCTCCCTTTCTGCTCTTGTGTTATCAAAAAGATAATTATATGAATAACCACACGCAGGTTTATTGTTAGTTTGTTGTGCCCGCTTACAGGTAAGAACAGCCAGCACAGACTGTATTATACCATAGCACTCAATCTTTGCGTTTCCGCTTTGTAGGTGGAGACCTTTTGTAGGACAGCCCTGCTGTTTACGTTTGGGGAAGTTGCTCAATATCGGAAAACACTTTTTCTTTTAGGTATGTGAGCAAAACCTAACTGTTTGCGATTTTTCTGGGTTAAAGAATCCACTTGATGGAGTATAATTAACGTCTTCAGGTCTAAGATCATGACAACATGACTGTTAGATAAAACCCAATCTCAGGTTTGGTCACAAGCTCCCCTCAGAATGGATAATCCAGTAACTTCCGCTACTTATATTCGCAACATCGGTTTTCGTTTACGTCGTAAATTGTCCGATTTTTTGGATCCTCAGGAGAGGTGGAAAGAAGTTCTTGTAGATATACAGAAATCGAGCGGGGAGCCGAGGTATTCCCAGCTTCATGTCAGGTAAGATGCGGGCAAACTTTCTGACGTGCTTGCTTTTCATTGAATGAAATCACGCTGATTGTTTATTTATTGTTTACTGAATTTGTGCCGCTGTCTTTGAAGGAGATTTGAAGGTCTTGTTGCACAGGGTCGCAGTCCCACAGTGGAGCTGCTCAATGACTGGGGGACCACCAACAGCACAGTGGGTGAACTTGTGGACATTTTGAAGAGTCACGAGTTACTGGCTGCTGCCAGTGTTCTGCTACCTGGTATGACTTTTAAAAGCCATTAAATAATAACCACAAGCAACAGGTAGAATAAACCTGTTGAATCTTAACTTACAACAAATCTTTTTCCCAGTATCGCCCTCTTTTTAAAAAAAAAAAAAAATCTTGTAAGAAAATAAGATGTTAACCACGAGTTGTGAAATTGCAATAAGAGATGTAGCAAAAAAACTTCTGCACTTTTTGTGTAGAGGATGAGTAAACATCTGTTATGTTATATTAAAGGTGTGATGCCTGGAGCATGAGGAGAAACAGTCAAACCGCACTGATACAGGATGTAAAACCCAATCATTTATTCTGATCATTTTTCGTTTTTGTCCTCACACAATTGAAGAGTCCAGTCCACTGGAGACACAGCTGACTCCTTTAAAAACCCAAAGCACTGCTTCAACCAGAGTGCTGGAAGAGAGAGATGTGCAGCAGCAGCCCGTCACCACTGTGCTGCAGCTTCGAATGCCACAGGAGAACACCGAACCAATACACACAGGTCTTTCACTTTTTGATTATGTATTAATTTTACGTTCATATCTTGATTGAACATGTGACATTGAACGTATGACACGTATGACATTTATTAACACAGTCATTTATGAGTCATATTCATGCGATGTTTTAAGTAGATAATGCTCATCTTTCATTATCTGCTAAAAAGTCTGGTTTCAGTGAATTAAAATGTCATATCTTTCTCAGCACCATGTGAATCTGCCACTGCAGTACTAAAGTAGTGCAATAAATCTACTTGATTACATTAGAGCACTGTAAACTAAGCTGCTCTATAGTGGTGTAGTGTAGTCAACAAAGATGATCTTTTGATTTCGATGCCGCTTCTTCGTAAAGATGTGATTTTATGTAATCGACAGCAGGTGGCAGCGTTGGGCTCTTGATCAGAGAAGTTAATGAGGCAGTTTACTGTGTCTCCCTCCTTAGGCTTCTCCAGTTTCTTATATAGTGACCTGATGAGGATCACAGGCAACTTTGATGACCGGTCCACGTCAGCTGGTGGCAGCCGAATTGGAGAGGGAGGCTTTGGGACGGTATACAAAGGTCTCCTGAATGACAAACCAGTTGCAGTGAAAAAACTCAATCCAGTAAGTGGAAATATTTTTAACAGAACCACATGCCTCTGTGTACTGCTGTTAATTGCATCTGAGATATTGTATTATTTAGGTGGATGACATACCACTGGACAAGTTGCAAGATCAGTTCAACCAAGAGATCCAGACTCTGAAAGTGTAAGTTTCCCTCAGGAAGAAGGTGAAGAAGCATATTTAACATACATGTATTTACAAATGCAGGTATGGTTTAATAACAGCATTTGTTCCACAGGTTGAAACACGAGAACTTGGTTGACATGGTTGGATTTTCCTGTGACGAACAGCACCTATGTTTAGTGTACGCTTTCATGGCCAATGGATCGTTATTAGACCGACTGGCTTGCTTTGTAAGCATTATTTACTCTTCTACACAAACAGTCTGCTTTTCAGTCCCTGTGCATTCATAAAGGGATTTAATTACATGCTTTTTTTTTTTGTTTATTTAGGAAGGAAGTCCTCCACTTTCCTGGCACCACAGGTGCTTGATAGCAGAAGGGACAGCCAAAGGTTTGGAGTATCTGCACTCCAACCATCACGTCCACAGAGATGTTAAAAGGTTCATAGTGCGAAAGCTTTCATTGTTATTGGTTTAGAGATGTCCTACAAAGAAGAGAGAAAATGTCCCGTTTTTGATGTCCCGTACCTTTATGGAACACTATGCAAATTACATCACATTACTGTTTTAGACAAAGAACCAAAAAAAGACTTTGGGGATGTAGAAAAAGCTTTCCCATATGGTTCTCTGCAGATCATATGACAAAATTAAACTAAATTAAAAGTAGAAAAAGGTTTCATTTACACTTGTATTCATGTCCCTGTTCAGAGGCGCATGAAAAAACTGATGCCACACCTAGATTTATTTTATTTTTGTTTAATCTGATGACACCACTAGTAGCTAGTAGTTTAAGTTAACATGAAGATCACGAACAGGTTCATTAGTAATGCAACAGTACAGTTTGGGCACGAAAGGTACAGTTTGGTAATTTAGTGAGTTTTATAGAGGCTCATAAGCAAAATCATGCAAGAGGTATTGATGTTTTAATTTAACTCTTGGCAAGGAAGCCAGTAAAATCACATTTCCCTAAATGTAGAAATATACATGACACATGACTGGATGTTTTGTTGCTCACTCTGGTATTTCTTCCCTGTTAGTGCGAACATCCTGTTAGATGAACACTTTGTGGCCAAAATCTCAGACTTTGGTCTGACGAGAGCATCGGCCAAGCGAACCTCGACGACCATGATGACTGAGAGGATCGTGGGTACCCGTGCGTACATGGCACCGGAGGCGCTAAGAGGAGAGATCACACCAAAATCCGATGTCTTCAGTTTTGGAGTGGTAGGCTTTCTTCAGACACACACACTGATACACACAGGTAGGGCTGGAGAAACTGCAGCTGTAATGTAAAATGTAGAGCAGTACCGGTACTCAGCACTTTCCTTGACTCCAAGGTTCTCCCAAACTACTGACACATATATAACTGCAGGACACAAGCGTTGCAGTATACTTTTTTCAGTATTTGTGAAATAAGAGCTCTATATTGTTTATCATCTGTCATTATCCCAAATCTGCTGTGGGACACAGCGATACGTATTAGTAGCTATAATTGTCAAACATAGGTGATTATTAGGTGATCATTAGATGATTTCCGGGATCAGTACTTTAGTAGAATCTCTGACCTTGCCACAAAGCATATGCATTCCTACATGCTGTGGGAATACTGCAGTGTTGGCGATGTTACCCACCACCACATGTAAGTTTTCCTGTTGCCCAGAGCCGTGCGATTAACCCCGTCTCTCTGCCATCTACAGGTGTTGTTAGAAATATTGTCTGGACTCCCGCCAGTTGATGAAAACCGGGAGCCACAGTTCTTGGTAAGTTACACAAAAGAGGCTTTCATCTTGTTACCTGCCAAGCTACACTTTGTGCTTCCAGCTTATTAAAGGCCTGACTTTGCCTTTAATAAGTCAGGGAACATTATCGGTTAATAGTCAATTTGTTAAGGATTTAAACAAAAAAGTTCAAATCTTCCACCTTTAAAAGTTTCATCTGTGCTCATCATGTGCTGATACTGCATTTGATGTTTAATATACAAGTCAGCATCTATGGAACATGCTTGCAGAAGATGATTGTTACATCACTGTGTGTGTGTGTGTGTGTGTGTGGCTGTGTGTGTGTGTGTGTGTACGTGGTGTTGTGTGCGTTGTTGCGGTGTGTGTGCGCGTGTGTGTGGCTGTGTGTGGCGCGTGTTTGTGTGCGCGTGTGTGTGTGTTCCCTACTTCATTTCCTAGATGGAGATGAGGTATGACATAGATGATGAAGATGAGGAGCTGACTCTGGAGGATTTTGTGGACAAAAAGATGAAAGCCTGGGAGCTGAGCCAGGTGGAGAGTATTTACTCCTTGGCATGCAACTGCCTCCATGACAGGAAAAACAGACGGCCTGTCATCAGACAGGTACAGGAACGATCCCAGCAGATTTAATGTATAGGTCAAGCTACTGTGTTGGCATCTGCACAGCTTTTCACCTTGAGCTGTTTGCCTGTGTTATGTGCCTCTGCTGGACCTGGCTGAATGAAGAAATCCCACAAAGGGATTTTTTTTGTTTTAGTTTTTGAAAAGAGGATCATTAACAACTGAGTCGGGTCATTGTTTGGGTTTTTTTTTTTAATGGCATTTATTAGCAAAAATACATTCACCTGTTTAACTGCTTATTAACACTAATATCTAAACAGCCAATCACATAGCAGCAACTGACTGCCGTATAGGCGTGGCTGTGGTCATTTAAGCACCTCGAGGTGACTTTTGTTGCGATTTGATGCTGTGTAAATAGCACATAACCATTTCCAGTGAGTGGCAGTTTTGAAGGTGAAAATGCCAGAGATCAAAGGAAAATGGGCAGACCGTTTAAAGCTGATAGGAAGTCAACAGTACTTGTTATCTTAACAAGGTATGCAGCAGAGCATCTCTGAATGCACGACATGTTGAACCTTAAAGCAGATGGGATGAGCAGCAGAAAGCCGAGGCCACAGTTCACTCAGACAACAGAACATTGGAAAAACATTGCCCAGGCCAATAAGTCTTGATTTCTTCTATGACATTTAGATGATAGGATCAGAATTTGGCAAAAACAGCATGAAAGTCCAGCAATGTACCAAAACCTCAGGCTGCTGCTGGTGTCATGGTGTGGGGGACATTGTCTTATCACACTTTGGACCCCTTAATACAAACTGAGCGTTTCTTAACCACCACAGCCCACCTGAGTGTTGTTGTTGACCGTGACCACAGTAAACCGACGTTTTTATGACTGCTTCCAGGAAGGTAACACACCATGTCACAAAGCTCAGATAGTCTCAAACTGGTTTCCTGAACATGACGAGTTCACTGTAATTGAATGGCCTCCACAGTCACCAGATCTTAGCCTTAATAGAGCATGTTTGGGACGTGATAGAAAGGGACATTTGCATCATGAATGCATGATGCAAATGTCCCTTTCTGCCACATCCTGACAAATCTGTGTGGCGCTATATTAACCAAAATCTCTGAGGAATTTTCCAACACTGTGTTCAATCTGTGCTGCAACGAATTAAAGCAGTTCTAAAGGCAAAAGGGGCCCAACTTGATATAGCAAGGTGTACCTAATAAAGTGTATGGGGAGTCTATGTAATAACAAACATATTATTTAGGGGATTTAGGGAGCAAATGCAGGCAGTAAGAGAACGGTGACTGCACTCTTGTCTTGTTGAACTAAAGGAAAATGTCATATTGTTGCTACGATATATATATGCTAACTTCATGATGTAGTCATGATTGTTGTGTGTCTGAACAGGTTTACGCGGAGATTCACGGAGTCGTCAAAAACATTGCACTGGATCTTGATAGAAAGGCGTGAAGCAAAGCATCGTGGGAATTGTGAGCTTGCTTCAAACTGCAGACTGACAGAAGAATTACTGCACTGTTTTTTTTTTTTAAAGGCATGTAGCTTACGTGTGTAATTCCTGTAAAAATACTGCTGAATACATTTCTGTGCGGCCTTTAAACAAATCTAATGGCCGAACTCTTTCAGAATGCTGATTGGTTGTTCTTCCCAGTGTTAAATGTATTTATTACGAACAATTAAAGAAGTGAAAGAAAGTGATTTAAATATTTTATTTTTCTTCTTCTTTAAAAGAATTATAAGAAAACATAAGACCAAACATGATTTTTCTATTATAATGACACTGTATGAACATAAAGGGATATTCCCTTCAAACATGAGGTGAGCGAAGTAGTTTGCCTAATATTAATCAGTACATCAGTGGATGTGGCAACATTTTGATCAAGGTAATTATATTATTCCCTTTCCCATCCAGTAGCGTGGCATTCCCTGTCATTATGGGAACCAGAAAAGCTGGAAAAGCTTCCTTCCTTGTGAAATCTGAAATGTGTGGATGTAATATTTCTGGAAGCCCCAGTTCTTTCACTGTGATCCTTACCGACGTGGACATCTACCGCAACAGACCAGACTGTTTCTTAATCAAAGAGCATCACACAGCTACAATATGTACATTTACAGCACTTGCATAGAAAAATAAGTATCTCAGCAGATGATTTTTTTCATGTAAACCACAGTTATATCAAAAAAGAAGTCTTTTTTTTTTTTTCTTTCCCCCCCCAATATAAAATGAATCATCAGACACAAGTTTGAGAATTTTTTTTTTTCTGCTTTGGAGCACCTCATTGTGCAAACAGTAGGAGACAAATAATCAACACATTAGACACAGAAACATTAATTGACACGAGGAGGAATGGAAGTTAGGAATTTGAGCACGTGAACACAAAATGGGGTCTTTTCATCACATCGGCGCAAGTTCACATTAGTTACACTAACATTTTTGAAGTCTCAGAGCTGGCAACGATGTGAAAATTAAAAAAAAACAACCTCGTCTTTGACTTGGTTTGGGCCTCTCTGAATTATAGTAAAAGGGTTTTTATGAATGTACTAACCTACATGAATGTACTTCCATTTGGCAAGCTACAAATGGAAATTCTGAAGTGTGTCATTGCTCAGTTGTCCTTGGCGTGCATAGCTGGGTCTGTGGGTGAACTCTGTGGGAATTTGAGGTTTTTGTCTTATTATTTTAAACAAGCGTGTCGAAAATGATTAACCCCCCCTCCCTCCTGCCTTCCCCTCCCCAAAGCAGGAATGTTCCTCTGTGGACCGTGCTCGGGGTAGAGGTGGTGGTCGGGCGGTGAGGTCTGTTTAATCTTCCTCCTCTCTCTCCCCCGGTGGTCGGGTGATGCGGCGGCCGCCCTTCTTACCAGCGGGGCCTTTGGGCTTGGCAAAGCGCTGCTTGTGTGCGTGCTGTTTGGGATGCACCTCCTCGTACAAGAAATCACTTGTCAGTTCTTCTCCGTTTTCTATTTCCAACTGGGAAACAGAAATATTTAAAAAGTGCATTAAAAAGATCAGCTGGACCACTGGTGCATTGTGTGACAGATTAAAGGAAAAACATTCACCCTTGTGCCCAACATTGAGCATGCTGTTTGAGGCCCATTAGAAAGGGTCACTACAAATGAGTTCTAAGATGACAACATGGCTTTTATTTGTATGACGGATGTTTAATCTGAACAGACAGTAAATTCTGAAAGTGTTCCTGAGCCTGTGCAGCGTTTTCCATGACATGTGTGCTGTTTAAAATACAGCGCATGTGCTCGAATCGATCCAAATATAGATAGTATCAATGCCACGCTGGTATTGGTGTCAGATCAATATTAGTGCCATATTATTCAGAATCAGAATACTTTATTGATCCCTGGGGGAAATTATTTAATTATTTAATTATTTAATTAAATTATTAATGCTTTGTCTCCATCCTTTTCTCTCAGTTCAGTATGTAGCCCACTGAATTGTGTTAAAAAAAAATCTTTTTTTGAGAAAAACTCAATTTAAATGGAAAAAAACTATGAAAAATGTCTGAACGTTTTTGTTGACTGTCACGTTCAGAATTTGCAAATTGATGCCGATTTATCTCATAAATCATGACACACTTCTCTCCCCTACATAAGCTGTATTAATACATTAAAAGCATTGGCAATATGATGTGTAATGTAATGTGGAGTAAATTAAAGGTAGAGTGCCCTTCACCACCATCATCAAAACACCTTATGAGGAAAATATGCTTTGGAAGCATGGCGCTCCACCCTTCCTGTAAATGCCTGGAGATTTACTGTAGAATCAATAATAACACTCTGTAGGTTTTCAGTCTTGTTTAAGCAATACATGTAGAATAAGGTTTACATTTGTAATCAGTCATATCAGCCACCAAAACCATTTTAAACTCTGTATGGAACACAGTACACAAATACTTTTGTTTTCAGGAAATCTCTTATGTAAATAAATGATATTTATTTTACATAAGACATTTGATTATTATAGTATATCATAGGGCTGTTCGATATAATGATATATATCGGATGACGATATAAAAACGTCTATCGTTTCATTTTATGCTATCGTTTGTTTCGTGGTGTCGCAAAATAAACTGTTTGCGACAATATTTTTTCATCGTTTTGATGGTCACTGTAGTGGTTATATTAATTTCTTGAAGTTCTCTCTTTCTCTTATATGTAATATAACCACACTACAGACGGACAAGCACCTGTTTTTATGCGTTGTCGTTAGCAACAGCGACAGCAACACCTTTGCGTGTCCGCTTGTTTATGTTCCACATAAACCTTTCACAATAAAGCTCAAGATCCTGTTGAGACTTTTCAAAATAAACTGAATCACGTGAAAGAGCAGATTATTTACGGATGAGAATTAAAAAAGAGCCGCCAGGTGCTAAAAAATAAACCTTAGACTCAAACGTTAGAACAGGCTTTTCCCCGCAGCACGCCGTGTAATAAATACAAAGAAAACGGTGGCCGTTACAACTTATGTCTAAAAATGTATCGTTTCATGCATCGGTTAAAACACTCTACTCCAGGTACATGAGCAGCTGGAAACACTTCACACAAGTCGAGCTGCCCAAGATTGACAGAATTTACAGAAAATTTTGCGATTTATATCGTTATCGGGATTCGGGACGATAGAATTCTTATATCGGGATATGAGATTTTGGTCATATCGCACAGCCCTAGTATATCACAAAACACAGTGTCTTACTTTTTTCTCAATCTCAATCTGGAGATTGTTTTCCACCATGTCGACCAAGGGATTTTTGCAGCTGGAATACAGCATCCTCTCTTTGATGCTACACTTGTACCCTGGCATAGAATAAATGAAGACTACAAAGAAAGAAGGAAAGGACAGTGAGATGGGAATCACGTGAAGCACCATTCAGAGCAGAACAACACAGAAACCTGCACAAAATACAGTGTTTGTTTGTTTTTTTCCTGCTGTTCGTAATAACCCGTGGGAAATCATTTACCTGTGGACTCTAAGTAGTCGCCCTCATGGGAATGTTTGTAGAGGAAGAAGTGGTAACGTGGAGTATCTTTAGGGATTCTCATTGGGAGATCTTTCAGCTCCGTTGGCTCAGTGCCGCACAACCGAATGAGCTCCTGTTCAGCATCTAATTTCTTTTTTGACAAAAGAAGCAAAAAGTTACCCTTTAAGCAAGCCGAGTGCTCCTGTAACTACAAGCTCCCTGCTTTGGTTACTAGACAATGTGAAAAATCTAGGTGGTGCCAGTAAATACCAAACACCTCCCTTTACTCTACATGCTAATGTGATCCTCAGCAGCAAGGAGTAAAACTAGTAAGGATGAATAGAACCCACAAAAGAAAGAAATGCACTTTAACTAAGCTTTTAGACTCATGAGAAGGAAATCTGATGCACAACCACAACAGTGCTACAATTATTCCTTTGTACTGGACTCATCTGATCTTGTGACACAAACCGTCAGAATTTCAATGAGCAGAATTTACACAAAGGCTTTTTGGACAAACTGAGTAACTCATTGTGTCAAACTAGAAAGGTCTCCTCGCCAAAACAATCGGCATCTTTCCAAACACAAGGTAAAAACTCCAACTGCACATTCAAATTATTGAATATGAATATGTCAGTGCTGAGCTAATTACTGTCATTTAGACCAGGATACAGCCTTGCAGACGTGTATGCAGAAAGCTGCAGACACCAGGAGTATGTGGCTGGCCTTACAATACTTTGTAATCCCATGGCATGTAAAAATGCCCAGATGTAGTGCTGTGACAGGTATGCTGACACTTGGCCATGTAGAGGCTAATAACCCCAGCTAATAACTCACCAGTTGTACGTAGTTGATTTTCTTGTCCCTGAAACGTTCAAGTGCTGCGATGGCATCTTTATGAATAGGGAAAGCCACTCCCTGCAGAGTCTGCTGCTTGGTGTCCACACTGATGTCAGTCTGCACCTAAACACACCACAAACGAAGACACAGAAACAAGACACACTTTGAGTTCTACAGTTACATTATCGTCATTAAAACACTACAATTGACAAAAACACTGAAAAATGATATCAAAGCCGTTAAAGTAGGCCGATCAGAGCATTACTTAGCAAGCATCAAATGTCTTCAAAATCAAAACATAAGCCACAATAATTCAATAAGTGTAATCATGTGAGGGCACACCGTTAAAAAAAAAGAACACAAAAAAAACTTTTTAGGATTACAAGTGCTTTGCACATCTTCAGAGCTACACCTGATGATTACAGATGAGGTGCTTGTATCGAAGTGACAAGGCGCCTCCGAGAAATTGCACTGAAAACTGGAAATTCTGGAAGGATTACACTGATGGATTGCATCTATTTTTAGAGGCTTGTTCCCACAAAATGAAATGCCATGCAAACATGATTGAGCCTCCCATGTAGCTATCGCGCATACCAAAAAGGATTGCAGGTCTCTTATCCATCTGCTTGGAAAAAAGCATGCAGTCTCCGAGGCAAAGCAACAATAAATATTTCAAAGGCTTTTTGAGCTAGGCAGTACAGATTAACAGTATATCATCTTCCTTCAACAGCTGGGCAAGTGGGAAGAGCAAAAAAAAACCTCACTTCCCATTTGCTCAGCTGCTTTTAATTGACCGTACTTTTGGAGACAGCCTGCACTCTACTCAGAGCACTTCCATATATGGTAAGAAAGATAGTTCTTGTTCATGTGGCGGAGCTGGGAGAGCAGCAATTAGAAACAGGTTGTTTCTTAACACTGAAGAAATTCTCGGCAAAATTCTAGGAATACTCTCCAGAAGTAATAAGATTGAAACTTCAAATGTTCCCATTTTCATTTGTCTGTTGGAGTCTATGTGGCACATCCCCGGAGACCTTGATATCAGCACTGTAAACACTGCTGACGACACTGCCTGCAACAAGTATCACATTACAGCACTTCTTTATCTGATCACAACAAAGGCACAAGCCATTAATGCAGCTCACCTGTACTCTTGTGACCAATCACTGCCAAATACTAAGAGCTACAGAACCCTCTCATTTGCATTTAGCTCCCAACATGTAAATGTTCGATTAGAACAATCAAAAAGCTCTTCTTTTAGTCCCTTTGCTGATTAGACTAACCAGTGTTTACAACTCTAAACAGCACGTTTTGTGGAGCTAAGGATATACACACAGCTAATAGCTTTATCTCTTCCCGATGCATTAGAACATCCTGCTGTTCTAATGAATCAGCATCTCTGCACTGCACTGATACTGCCAGGCAAGCATATGCACACTTGCATTGCTGCTGACCTTGCGCTGTTTGGAAAGCTTCAGCGCCAGCTTTCATTGATACCCTACACTGTACTGGTTTGGATTTACCTACCACACCCAGGATATGCAATGAGGAGGGATACCGCTGAGCTAAAGCAAGCCAGTGCTTTCTCCCAGTGAAGCCTCCAATGTGATAATGACGTAATGCCAAAAGAGAAACGAGAAGCCTAATCCACACCCACTTTAGAACACTTCAAGCCAGAGAACTTGTCAACAAGTGACCGCATGTGTGCAGCAAGCACTGCATCGTTTCCTCCAAGATGATGACAACTCTAAGCGGTGACCAAGTGATAAAATCCAAATCACTTGTCTGTGTGTGTGTGTGTGTGTGTGTGTGTGTGTGTGTGTGTGTGTGTGTGTTACCTCATTCAGTTTGATCTGCCTCAGTTCCTCTTCTGCAGCAGTAAGAGGCAAAGGAGCAGCTTGAGAGGTCAGATGTTTCTTGTAACCACTGAGGCTCAAATCATCCTGCAGGTAAAGAACAGCCCAATCACACGGCATGCAGAAACACACACTGACTCACTGTTACTGATATAGTAATCACAGTTCCTATTAGGTGCTAAACACTAACACTGACATTTAACTTGGCACTGTTAAGCTACTGAGTAACAAGCCTTTCACTTGACCAACCTTGCTGGTACCAAAAATCTCATCCTTGATGTGCCCGCCTCCAAACTCCTTCTTCAGTGTTGCTCTGGTAGCAGCATATAACATTTTGTGTCGCACCTGTTGTGAATATCCAAAAAAAAGAAAGAAAAAAAAAAATTTAGCAAACTTTACACAGGACATAAGGCAATGAGAGCTTTATCTTTAAAGGAAAAAAAAAAACATTTTATTGTTGCTTGCCTTAAAAAAAAAAAAGTGAGAAATATTATAATACATATTACAGCCGGTGCTTCTGTCAAGACATTCTTACATGTGTTTGCTGGTTTATTGCTGCATTTCCTGTCATAAAAATAGGGAACTGCTCAAATTCATAGTTACACTAGTGGTAACCAAAACTTTACAAGATACCTTTAAATATCAAACGTGTGATTTAAGGCTACGTAAATCCAGCTCCAGTTCTAACGAAGTGAAAAAAAAATGCACATGATAAAAACGAGTGCATGCATGCATTGGAAAAATGTTTTGCAACTTCCAAGCAAGCCTAAACCTGAAGGCTCGTGCTTTATACTAGACGTCAGGAATGCTGAGCTCAGCTCCTCCTTCAGAAAGTGATTCTAAAGTCCACCGTGCTACAAATAATCCTCCATTGCACTTTATCTGGGCACCAGTCGCTTCTCCTCGCAACATTCCCCATTTCACTGCTACAGAAACACACTTGTGTGTTATTTGTTACGGCTATTCTTATTCACAGCAACTTCAGGCTGCAAGTGGTTCATCAAGTTTCAGTGAGACCAAACAACAATGACTTAAATGACACTGTGCGAGACAAGAACGCATAAATTGCAAGCACACACATTTGCATTACAACAAAACACCAATGCATGATAGGAATATGCCACCTAAAAGCAATGAGGGTAAATTTTAAATCAAGAAGGAGAGGCTGAGGCTATGCACCGTGTTATTTGGAAAAACATAATTTACCCATATTTAGCTTTCAAGAGGTCTGTTAGGAAATAATGAATGCATTTAAAAGAACGGCTGCCTTGATGTGGTAAACCCCACCCGTCTGATACCCATAGCAGAGAAGGACAAATGCCATGCAGAATGGAAAGCTATTCATTAAAGCCGGGATAGTTTGGGTTTTTTTTCCTTACAGCAGAGTGGTCCGGTGACCAGGCCAGGAAGATCCACTCGTAGCCCTGGTTGTTATTGGAGTCTAGCCGGTATAGAACGTAGCAGGGCACATCATCGTCGAGGAGGGGTAGCACTAAAGAATCGTATTCCTGGTCCCATTTTTTAGATGCTTTCCTGCTGGCACCTAGAGTCAGCTGCTCTGGAGAGCAGATGTGGACAAAAAGAGAGACAGGAAAAAAAATCAGCAGTGCAAAGTTTTGTTTCTTTATAAAGAAATGCTAATGTCAGCTTTGGCAGACAATTAGGTAGAAGTAAACAAACTCCAGGACGCTAGAGCGCTGCTTACCATCCTTGATGACGATCTTTAGGGCACGATACTGATCCCCGCTCTTCGCACTGGCAAAGATATCCTTCACATCATTCCCCGCTGAGAAAAAAAAAAAAGACATAAGGTCAGGGTTTTCTTCCCCTCCTTTAAACAATGCAGGCTCAACAACACCACGCTCATCTTAACATGGCCATCATGAGTCATATGATTATGAGTCTACACCTAAAGGTTTAATGACTCATAATAGCCTATGAACCATCTGATGTCAGCCATTAGACAAAGGCCACAAAATGATCTTCTCATTAAGCATTCAGCACCTGCAGACCTTTGTAAAGTTAGCATTTTATCCCGTATTGCACAGGTTTTGAGTGAGCAGGCCATCAAGAAAACTTGTCAGTCCTATTATTTTGGTTCAACCTTTGATCTCAAACCCAGTCACAATAAATACAATTTTCTTTTAATAAATTTAAAAAGGGTGATAATTCAGATTCAAACCAACTTCTTAATAGCTGTAACACAAACCCCAAGAGCACCTTAATGGCACAAGTCCAACAAACTATTTAGACATTTTTAAAATCACTTTTGCAGGAAGGCACTAAAGAAAAATCTTCCATGTAACACAACACACAGGAATGCATGGTAGTAAATGAACTGGGTCATATTCCCTGAATTACTAGGATTCACTTTTGTTTTTCACCACCACCAAAATCTGGTGAGCTACAAACAACCACAAAAAGGGTTTAGCTTAGAGGAGCCCCTGTATTAAGCTTTATGTTTAACATATATATATTTAAAAGATAAAACAGAAAAAGAAAAAAACACTATTCGGACACAGCAGTAACAAGTACGTTTGTACTTTATTTTAAGGTTGCCTGATTTGTAAGTTTAACCTCGGGGGTTGTTTCTATTTTTGCTGCGATGCCATCGTGTATAACAAGTGGTCACGCCCTGCACAAATCCCTTTTTCTTTTAATTACAACACGGCTTAGGCAATGCCAGTACCATTCACGGATTATTGCAAACACCGACAGGTACCAGGCCAGCAGTTTGTCAAAATGAAGGCGTCGTCTGTCCATTCAAAATGTACTCAAAATCTAAACACTACCGGATTTATGCTTGATGCTAAAAGGCTGGGGAATTACAGGCTTTTCGAGCACTGCGAGGGTGAAAAAAGTATGAGTAGTCGTGTTTTAGGTCGCTCGTAAACTGATTAGAGACTCAGGATTAGATTTCCTGGTCATAAGTGTCCAAACAGGGCACGCACACACACATATGCACACATCAGGATAGCTCAAAGCTAGCTAGGAGTGGCTAGCTAACGTGACGCTAGCTTCCCCTTGCAATTAATTGTTGCAGGCGCTTAAAGCTCGCCGGGCAATCAGACACGCAGCAAAACAAAACACGTAAAGGCCGAAAGCTGTGAATCAGAAAGAAAGCATCTACCTTGAATGCCCGTTTGATGTGACATTGTGGCTTTCGTCGGATAAAAGGCTGATGCGGCTGATCAGGCGAAACCAGGGCAGAGAAGCAGGAAGTGGACTACATCGGCGAGACCCGCCCCGAGTCTGTCGTCACTAAAATCCTAACAGGAAGGTAATCGTGTTTTATTTTAATATGTGTGTTTTTTTCAGTCTTTAAAAAAAACAAAAAACGGAGACGATACTTCACTCTTTATTTGTCGCTGCTTTCTTTTTGTCAAATATGAAAACTGTGTTCTAGCTTTTTTTTTAATTTTTACTTTCCTGTGGAAAAATGAACCATACAGTTTGTTGATTTCTGCTGAGCTGTGTCATTCAAAGACTCGGCGTGTAGCATTTATAAATACTGGGGTTCTTTTGTCACATTTGATTAAAAAAAAAAAAAAAGACAGATAAATATCGACTAGTAAAGTCCTGCACCTGAATGAAAACGACCAATCAAGGGGAGGGGGCGTGCCTAATGGTTGCTACGTGCATCATACCTTTGCTGTGAATTAAATTGGACTCTTGGACTCAACAGGCCAAGATATTCTATAACTTCTTTTATTTTTTTGTCTCTTTTGGTTATGTAGTGCATGCTCGGTATATTCTAGTATATTTAGCAGTACTTTCTACACAAACTATGTACTTGTTTTTATTGCTGTTCTGTGTGAAGTCTCATTTTTTTCATTCACCTTTTATCTGCAGGTGCATGTGGCCTCTTGGTGAAGAGGTGGAAGAACTCTGGTGTGGACTGCCTACCAGCCAGGAAACCAGTGGCTCTTTGCGTGGCTTCCTGCTTTCAGAGGTCACAGTCACACCTTAAAACTTGCAGTGATGATTATTTTCATGATAGAATAAAATACAATACAATAGCCTTTTATCAGTTTTTCTGAAAACAGGCTTTGTTTTGCTTTCTTTTTCATTTTTACAACTTCTGCTTCTTCTTCCTGATAAAGAACTCAATTAATAGAATAGAACGGAACAGAATACCCAAACCTGGCTCAAGACTTGGCAGTTCATCTTGTAATCGGAAGGTTGCCGGTTCGAGCCCCAGCTTGGACAGTCGTTGTGACCTTGGGCAAGACCCTTCGTCTACTGGTGATGGCCAGAGGGGCCGATGGCGCGATATGGCAGCCTGGCTTCTGTCAGTCTGCCCCAGGGCAGCTGTGGCTACAACTGTAGCTTGCCTCCACCAGTGTGTGAATGTGAGAGTGAATGAATAGTGGAATTGTACAGCGCTTTAAGGTTCTTGAAAAGCGCTATATAAATGCAATCCATTATTGTCATTGTACATGTAAATGAAATTACGGAATTAAGTAATGATTTCAGCTCTATAAATTTAGAAGTAGTATTTTTCAGCATTGATTTTTTTGTTACTACAAATACAACAGTACAAATCCTTCTACTACACCTCTTCCAGAAGCTGAACTTAGAGCTTCTTTGAAAACAAAGGAGAAAGTGCAAGTGTTTGAATGTAAAAGTACAAGCACTAGCAGCAAACCTCTGTAAAATGTGTTTAGCTCTTATTAGTATCATTGCTGTAAATCATTTTTTTTGCAATTACTCTGATATATACACTATTGTTGAATCCCAGGATACTATTGGTGAGATGTTTTCATATTCATAATGGAAATAATAATGAAAAATAATAGTGACATTAAGTTAATGTGCTATCTTGCTGCACTTGTCCCTCTTATCTAGTAAAAACAGAGCTTCCTCCCTCTGACCTTTTTTTTTTTTTTTAGAAATATCTTTGCTGGTATAAAAAAGTCAAAATATATCTTGTATTTCACATTTTCACATGTGTTCATATGAGCATGGATGAAACGGGACATCTTGTTACACGGGGAACTAAAGGGGACCAGGCTTTGGGCAAGCACAGCAGCAGTACTCATATGCACACACCATTTTAAAATAAGACAATTACTTAGTCTCTTAGAAAAGTCAAAATACAAAAATTTAGAATTGCCAATTAACCTAAAACCAAGCCTTTGGACTGTCAGGGGAAGCCAGAGTATTGTGTAAGAATTCAAACAAGCACAGGGACAACATGCAAGCTTCACACAGACAAGCCAACACAAAGAAACAGACATTCATAGCACCAGGCACCAGCCACTGAAAAGAGTCAAGAGAGTCCTGGGTTTGAATCAACCAGCTGGCTGGCGCCCTTCTGTGTGGAAAATTCATGGTCTCCCTGTGCTGCTTGTGTTTTCTCGAGGTACTCCAGCTTTGTCTCTCATACAAAACACATTCATGTTCGGCTGACTGGCAATTCTAAATTGACTGTAAGTGTGAATGGTTGTTTGTGCAAATGTCGTAGCCCTGGTGACCTGACTAGGGGAAAACTCACCTCTCACTCTGACTCTACTGGTGGGTTTTCAGCCTATCCCCACCCCCACCCCTGTGGCTTTCTTCATTTCTTGTTTATATGTGTTCTTTGGTGATTACATATAAGTCTGTTTTTCAGTGTTTGAAAACAGACAAAAAAAATTCTGTACAAGGTAATAGATCTTAAAAGAACCTCACATTGGGACTCTGGACAAGGAAAACTGAAAACACTGTGGGTTTATTCCCATGGCTTATGTGATGCTAAAAGTCTATCCAGTTTACCACTTTCTGCCCAGCAGCGTGATTAATGTGTGAGACCTGTCCCAACATTCACAACACAGAAGGCAATCATATCCACAGCTTACCATGCTATTTCTTTTACAGTTTAAGGGTTAGTACTTAAGTTTCTTATTGCTTGTGTTTCTTAAAGGTGATATTTGGCTACTGAAGAAGCAGGTGTGCTTTCAGTTTCAATTTCTAGAAGACTGCATGCGATTTGTATTTTCACCAACATGCTGTTTTCTGTGCTAAATATACCTTTGGCTGTAGTGGCAAAGGAGCTTAAATTCTACTGCATTGGAGTCCAAAATAACTTTGGCTTATCCAGATGTGGCTTTGCATGCTATTTTTATTTTCATCAACACTGCACACTGGTAGAGTGCATCGCTAATCCTGCGTAACATTTGAAGATTTTCTGTTTCTTTTCACTTATTAAAAACAAAGGATTCTGTAATACATAGAGTGCCTAAAGTTTTATATGTGAATTCATAGACTGTACTATGCTGACAAGGGACACATTTCTACACAAGTTTATGTTAAATGAAAAAGCCAAGAAGAAAGGGTATAAGGATACTCTTTCGCATGTGTATTGGTCTTGGTATGTTGAGATGCCAGAAACCCACGAAGAAGAGCATCATATATATGCATATTCATGCTAACAGTTCTGGTTTATTTATGGGATATTTTAATGATATTCTATTAATGATATTTAAATTAAAGGGATAATAAAATAATAATGAATGCTTTACTCCACTATATGTGTATGGTATCTGCTTTTATAATGTAATAAGTTCCAAGAAATAAAGTCAACTTGTTTTCTGGTTTAAATTCAGCTATTTTCTTCAAGAAAAGAAAAAATAAAGCACTGATTGTATTTAATTATGGCTTAAGATGAATATTAATATAAAGATCAATATTCATTCATCTTTCATTTTTTTACATTTTATTCAGTTTTTCCACATCTCTGATCTGTCATACCAAGCCACGGGCTGCCTGCCTCTGGTCTCCTCTTTAAATAAATAAATGAGCCCCATGGCAGCAAATTCCCTTCTCAGCTTTGCATCAAGTATGACACACAGTCGCACAGGAAGTGATTTGAACCCCCCCCCTCCCCTTTTTTTTTTCTTTTCACAAAATAAACAGATTCTAGTGTGGCTGATGAAACCTGTGCTCTGTTACTAGTACATTTATGTGAAACAAAATAATTTACCAATGGTATTAAGCAAATTGTTTACTGAGCTCTGGTCCACTGATTGAGATGGGCTCATCTTCAACCATTCTTCGATGTGATGTAGATTTCAGAACATATAAATGAGTGTAAGTGTCTGATTTGCCATTATTGTGACCAGAGATGGGCAGTAACGCGTTACTGTAATCTGATTACTTTTTTCAAGTAACGAGTAAAGTAAGGGATTACTATTGCAAAAACGGTAATTAGATTACCGTTACTTTCCCGTAGGAACGCTGCGTTACTGCGTTACTAAAACCGTGATTTTTTGGAGAATGTCTCATGACAGTGACTAG